CAACACTTTTTTCCACAATCAAACATTAGCATGACAAATCAACTTGAATATCCATTAAAGTGAATAAAATCATCACATCTTCGAAAGTTGGTCAATGAATGGTAAATAATTAGGCCAATTTTGGTGATTCCACCTTTGAAAATAAAGCAAAATCATTAAAACCATACAATTTGGTTTGGCTAAGCAAATAAGTACAAGTTGGTGTGTACAACAAAAATAAACTAATACACCTATGAATTACTCTCTGGAGTTTAGAAAGTAAAAAAGACAAAGAAAGTAAGACAAACAAATCTAAACGGGGAGTATGATGAGATCACGGACGGCAAAATAATATTATGTTAAAAAAATGCCCTCACGCAGGATCGAACTGCGGACCTTCAGTTTACAAGACTGACGCTCTACCACTGAGCTATAAGGGCTTGTATGTCAGCGTAGTGCAAGTTTACTATTTAGATCAAATTTAAGGGAAAAGGTGAAGGGAAGCCAAATTGACAAACAAATTACTCCACAACAACAACAACAACAACATACCCAGTGAAATCCCACTAGGTGGGGTCTGGGGAGGGTAAAGTGTACGCAGACCTTACCACTACCTCGTGGAGGTAGAGGGTAATTTGTAATTGACAAACAAATTACTCATTAGATCTAATTGAACTATTACTAAAAATGTTTTAAAACTAGATATCTTATTTATTGTATGTTAACTTCAAATTAGTGGTAGACCACAACAAATTAGATCGTCATAATCACAATTTATAAAAGAAAAAGAGTTAAATATACTCTTAAACTATTCAAAATGAGTCAGTTTTGTCCTCTTTTACATTTTTAACGTATTTTTTTTTTGCTCAAATACACTGTTTACCTAACAAAATAGATCTAAAAATACCCGTCTTACCAAGATTGTTCCAAACTAGCTTTGGAAACATGTGAAAATTGTTTGAAAATTAGTGGTAGACCACCACAAAAATTCTACTTACTCATAATCACATTTTTTTTTTACAAAATACATAGAGGGGTAGCTACTTCACATTTAATGGTCCTACTTAATAGTATGAATGGTGGTCTACAAATTTCCTTACTTGACAACAACCACCATAAAATCACAATGAATAATTTGTAGAAAAATTTTCCATACCACAAATTTAGAATTGAAATGAAAGAGAAATAAGGTATCAAAGTGTTAATTAATAAACAACTTTGTATTTTCCTTTTAGCCATAGAGATAGATAGAAGATAGTGATAGAGAGTATCCAAACTCACCCAAACCTAGCCAATCTCATTCAAGCACTATATTTCCTTTGATGACATCTTTCTTTCACTCTCACTCATTTCTTATCTCATCCACCCCACCCCCCCTACACCCCCTTACCCCACCCTTCTTATATCTTAACCAAAATGTCCCACACTTTTTTTCTTATCTTTTTCTCTTCACTACTAAGCATTAAGCAAAATGGCAACAAATTCATTCAACTCCATTCATACACTAAGAAGAAGGCATTCTAGAGATTGCCCTTGCCCTTTTTCTTCCTCTTCTTCTTTTTTCCTTAAGCCAATTACCAAAAACCCCTCCTCATTCTCCAATCATAACCTCATAACTTTCTCTGTTTCCTCAACTACCCCTACCACCACCACTACCACCACCACCACCCCTACCACCCCCTTCGATACTCTCGAACAACACTTAATTTCTCAAAATTTCCGAGAAGCAGACGAGGAAACTCGCCGTTTACTCATCGTTTTAGCCGGAGAAGCAGCAGTTAAACGAGGATACGTTTTCTTCTCCGAAGTTCAGTTCATTTCCGAATCTGACCTTAAGGAAATCGATTCGCTATGGAGAAAATACAGCGACGGCAAATTCGGTTACAGTGTTCAGAAGAAGATATGGAATACGAAAGTGAACAGAGATTTCACGAATTTCTTCATCAAAGTTCGGTGGATGAAGAAACTGGAGTCGGAAGAAGTGGATCAGTACAATTACAGGGCTTTTCCGAATGAATTCATTTGGGAATTGAACGACGAAACACCGGAAGGACATTTGCCATTAACGAATGCTCTGAGAGGAACTCAATTGCTGAAGAGCATTTTTACTCATCCAGCTTTTGTTGAAGAAGGAGATGAAGAAGAAGAGAAGGAAGATAGTAGTAGTAGTATTAATTCTGGGGGAGATAAAGGGAATGCTAAAAAAGGGGGTTTATTTGGAGGTTTAAGGAGTAAATTATTTAGTAAACCAGATTACAGTTTTTAAATTTTTGAAGAAACAAAAAGTTTGTTTATTAATCAAATCAGTACAAATTATGTGATGATAAAAAATTGAATGAATTACAGTTTTTTTGTTTAATGTGTTTTTATGAAAAGTAAAAATGTCTGTTGATTATTTTCAAATTTAATATAGTATATATATGTAGCTAAATGAGTAATAATTTTCACATATTTGTAGATGTTCATGAAAAATTAAATTTTAATTAATTGAATATTATAACGTAACGTGTTTGTATCATGTGTTCAATTTAGTCTTGGCATTTTTATGTTGTCAGTGTCACAATCTTTTATTTAAATATATATTCATGTTTGAAAAGGGAAAAAGGGACAATTTAGCGACGTTAACGAAGTTAAAATGACTCTGGCTGGCATGTATGTACTTTAATTTGAATGTTTTATGTCATTACTTAGTGCTAACATCACGCCTTATTAGATTATTTGCTTCACTCGTTTATTCACACGATCGATTTCACATATGAATAAAGAAGGGTTGTCGAAAATCAATTGAAAATAACATTTGTCTCATAAAAATAGGAGTAAAATTTAGTATATCTTACATTTCTCAAGCTTCACTAGTGTGAAATGAAATCCAATTTGTTGTTTACTGGTAATTCGTTAAAGAACTCGAATTTTCTACATTTACTGATTTGATGACAAAGTTAAAAAAATTAATTCTATAAATATTACATAAATCCCACTAATTTTATAAATTAATTACTTAGATACATTTTAGTTTGTCATATGATGTATCTTGCTAGATTTTGGTGCAGATAATTCTAGATACATGTATCTCAAATACATGAAGTCAAATTTAGGTATAATTTGTTCTTGATACATTATATCCAAGTGAATCCGCACGTATCTAGAATATATTGCAAATCTTTCTCACCCCGCTCATCTTTGCTTGGTCACTCTCCCATTTATTTGGTATCCTAGATATATGTGAATCAATCTACGTATGTCTCTCATCTCGCTTGTCACTCTCCCATGTATTTGATATCCAAGATATATGCAAATCAATCTAGATTTGTATCTCATCTCGCTTGTCACTCAGCCATGTATATGATATCCTAGATATATTCAAATCAATCAAGGTATGTCTCTCATCTCGCTTGTCACTCTCCCATGGAATTGATATCCTAGATATATGTGAATCAATCTAGATACATATGGATATCTAGTGTGATCCATATGTATGTGACATAGTACAAGCTGATAGCTTAAATAGTAAAATATCCAAAGAGGGAGACAACTCGAACCTTAACCACTCCAACTAAAAACCAGAGGGCTCACGAATGCTTTTCTATAAATCGGTGGAGACAACTCAAATCTGCAATCTATCCGAGGACGACAACAAACTTATAGATGTATATGTACAACATTTTCACAAGCTACGCAGAAACGTTCATGAGAAAGAACACCTAATGACGTTTAAAATCATTTTGTTTCAAGAGTCCTGCATATGAAAGGTGGAGCAAGACTCATATTGAGTAGGTTTTAGCCACTTTTTGAACCTTATAAATACTTTACAAACTAACTTCTCCTTGCAACTAGACGCACACAAGCACCATTTCATAGAGGCCATCATCAATTCCATCAGCAGATAAAAGAAATAGGCACTTAGGTGCAATTCCAGCATGTAGCAAATCCTTGTCAGACACATACTGATGTGACAAAACTAATTGGTCATATAATTCACCTGGAGAACTATTACAATCATTGCAATAACATATTTTTTCACTAGACACTTGTAATGGATTTATAATACAGTTTTAATATATTTTATTGATAACAATGTATTAAACATATGATGCACATAGATTGGAATGAAAGCGTTAAAGGGTGCACTGCTCTAATGAGATTTAGAAGTGTGGAATGGATGAATGTGACGAAGAAAAATGGAAAAACAATCTGATGAACTTCTACGGCTCAAAAAGGCTTGAATGATAGTAAGGTTCTCTACATTTATCTTGCTAATAGACCACCTGGGCGAGAGCCTTCTAACACTTAGTTGATGTTAAAACACATATGCAATGTCAATAAGACCTGGAGATAGTAGTGACTGAGATTCAAAACAATCCTAATTGACTTTGAAAGACAAATCATTTTGTGTATGGACCCATAGGAGGAAATATTTTAAGGATTCACATAGCCAGACAAAGCTAGTATAGGGATTGAGTCAAGACATGATGGAATGATTGATACCCAATGGGGAAATAACCAACTATTTTCAACTTGTGATCAGTGATCACCAACAAATGGCAGACGTACTCACATAGCAACAGATATGTTCGAATAAATCATTAAGCTGCATTTCATCCTGATGGGCTATCCTATGGAAGAAGATAAACAAAGAAAACAACAAGAAGGCAAGGTAGTCTGCTAATTCTATCCCAATTGCGATACGGAGGATGAGTCCTAGTGCGATGCACTAGCTATGTTGAAGTTGTTGTGGGGTGTACTAAGGGAGAGAGGAGTAAACAAAGCAAACAACAAATTGCTTATTCTTAGAAGCATTAAGCTGATTATCTTTGGGATTATGAGTCCCATAATCTATTGCACTACGGACGATGATTTCACTCCTTGATTAAACAAAATATACATAACCATTTATCCATTCCTAAGAAGACTCAGTAGAGTCGGTTCTTAAAACACCAGAAACTGTGCAATTGGTATGTTACACAAATAATCTGCAGTAATTAAAACAATATAGAACACACACCGAAAAATGCAACACAGGATACTAGAAACAAACCATTATAAAATTGTAGATAACTAAAACAAGAGCCAGGAATTATCCATCAATAAAATAGTTCAAACACAAAAAAACAGCCTAACAGTATCTTTGATAACAAAAACAACATCCCTCAAAACTCTTTAATACTAAGAATATTACCATTTCATCAAAATCGGATTCAATCTTCGCTCAGAACCTAAGCTTAGTAAAGAACCAGCGATTTTTCCCGGTCTTGAACCTCTCCTCAAGCCTAGCCTTGGTCTCCTTTGCAGCGGTCACCTTCTTGTCGCGTGCCTGAAGAACATCAGCATTGACAACATCCTTCAGATCCACATCGAGTGTGTAACGAGTTGGCATGATGTGGTTGTAGTTCACGAGCTTGATGAAAGCCTTGACACGAGATTTCTTCGCCTGCTTCTTTGCTGAATCCTTGCGGATCACCTTCTTCGGGTACTTGGAGATACCTGCAACCAAACAATGGCCATATGGCCTGTCCCTTGTTCCTTCATCAAATGCCCTTACGATCACAGCTTTCCGGCCGGCATATTTGCCTTGAAGAAGGATAACAGCCTTGTTTGGCTTCAAAAACTTCACCATCCTCGCCGCCGCTGATTCCTCTCTCACACACTATCTCTCTCGGCTGGATGAAATGGAGTGTAAAACCCTAACGTTTTGGCTTTATAAAGCCCTAGTTCTCAACGGGTTAGAATGGAAATCAAAGCCCTAGTTCTTAATGGGCTTAGGCCCATAATTTGTTATTATTGCATTGGGCTTTGATAAAATGGACCTTCTCAACCAAAAGGGCTGATTTACGTAAATAGCCTAATATACACCACCATTTAAAATTTACCCCCATTTTATGAAGTTATGAAGAATTACCTTTCCACAAATATTAGACCGGAGTCTAATGATTGATGTATATTGCTTCAACCTTATAGATAAAATATTATATTGTCGTTTAATATTGGCCAAACACATATATAGATCCTTAAACTTGTCCCTAAATTTCATTTTGACACTCCAACTCAACTTTGTTCCATTTTAACCCTTCAACTCCATTTTTTATGTTCCATTTTGGCACTTCTAAGTAGGGGTGTGCATTCGGTTTTTCGGTTCGGTTTTGTGTTATTCGGTTTGGGTTTTTCGGTTTTCGGTTTGAAAAAGTATAACCCAATTTGAACCAAAAAAAATTGGTTCGGTTCGGTTTTTCTCTTTTCGGTTTGGTTTTTTTCGGTTTGGCTATTCGGTCGGTTATAACTTATTTCATAACTAATTAATAACATAATCAAAGTTATATTTGCATGCTTAAAAAATAAAAATTTCATATAAGGAAAAGTACTAATTCTAGTTCTGCTAATTTTTTTGTCATGAAAGTGCAAGTAATATGTGATATTTATAGTTATAATGTAAAACCTAATGCCTAAAATTTAGTGAAATAGGATGGCAGTAATTTGATATGGGCCTAAATATTACAACAATACTGAATTATTAGTACCCTACGGCCTACATAGTAAACCTAAATATTATATGTGTAATTATTAATCTATTTATATATATATATAATTCGGTTTTTTTCGGTTTTTCGGTTTTCATTTTTCTAAATCCGAAACCAAACCAAAAAACCAAACAAAGTAACTTATAAATCCAAAACCAAACCAAAAATCCCAAAAACCAATCCAAATTATCTCTATTTCTTTTATGTACCATTTAACACAAAATACTAATTTTATGATTTCTTTATTTCTATATATGTTACTGCAATTTTGCATTTTAAAAATCAACGATCATCTGTTAATTATTGTAAAAAATTAAAACTGACGGATTATCATTGGTTTTTTTTATAAAAAAAGTAACAATTTCTTTTTAAGAGTTTTCCTATATTTTTGAGTGAAAAATAACCGACAAAAATGTGTCGATTTTCTTTCTTAAAAAAATCAATGACAACCCAACAAAGTTTATCGAGTTTCAACATTTTTTTGTAGTGTTATTAATTAGCAATGAACATGAGTTTTTTTACTCGTATTTAGTTGAATGAAAAATTAGAAAGTTGATATTTGAGTTAGTCCAAGTAGATTAGATATGAAAAAAATATGTGATGTTATTTATATTAACTAATTGTTTTTTAAAAAAAATCAACACACTTTCACCGATTATTTTTTCACACAATAATGTACAGAAACTCTAAAAAAAAATGATGTTCATCCATTATTTTTTAACACAATAATGGCATGTGAAGTACACACATCCCACTTTGTTGATTCTTTGGAAAGAAGCGTCAAAATGGAACATAAAAATTGGAGTTGAAGGGTCAAAATAGAACAAGGTTGAGTTGGAGTGCCAAAATGAAATTTAGGGACAAGTTTAAGGATCTCCATATGTGTTTGACCTTTAATATTTGTAATGACTTACAAAATTGTAGATTTTTATCTAACCTCTTCTCATAAAATTTTGAATTTCTTCAGAATTTTTTTAAAAATATTGTCTATCGAAAATAACCCCTCTAAACAATTATCCTGAAAATTTTCACAACCAAAAAGCTACAAGGCTTGTTTCTAGTTTCTACACTTTCAAGGTAAAAATAATGTAATGTGTGGTGAAAGAAAGAAATACTAGTTTGGCTATCTTTAGCAAAAAAATAGGAGATAAGTAAGATAAGAGTGGCTCGTCGTGTGTATTGTGCATGAACGATAAATCTTTTGCAAGATGAATACAAAAAAGACTGTATTTCATTAACCAATAATAATTGTTCTAAAGTAATAAGGATTCTCGCGAATTAATTTACATCACCTACACCAACAGGTAAGTATCATCGATTTGATTTATTGATTTTCAATTTGTGCACATGCTAAACTGATAACCAAATCGACAAAATATTTATTACTATGATTTACGATTCCACATATAAGAAAATGCACATATAATCATTTTGTACACAATGTATAGAGTTAGAAGCAAGAATAAAAGTGCAACATGGATTTTCTTATTAATCACTTTTGTTTAAACAACATAATTGTTTGAATTCCGTCTAAAACTCATAGAAGCAGGAACAGAAGTGCAAACTTTTGTTTAAACAACACAATTGTTTAATTCCGTCTAAAACTAATGCAATAAATTGCAGAAACAACATAAATGTCTTAATCACAATCAAATTTGAAACTGAGAAAGGAGGAGTACTAGTTACATAACCTTTGATATTCAAACAATAGTGAAATTACATAACCTTTGAAAAGAGAAATCGTCCCAACAAAAGTTAAATTTGCATAGTTGAATAAATTTCAATACTTGAATACTGTGGAAAACTGACAGTCACATGAAGCATGATGACATATGACAAATATTTCGAGTGCTCACCATCAACTCATTTGTCTAGCAACCTTTAAAACAGTTAACAAAATTCACATAAAGATTGGAAGCTCTGCAATCCTAGAATATTCAGATCATAGCACTAGCAACATTGACAAGCTGTGACACTGAAAATTTTCAGTTATTTCATTCAGAACATTAGTACCGGAAAATACTTGGGAAGAATATAAACACTACTTGGACAATTCGCAATGGGTATAGTTCGGTGTGATACTGCAAGTTATGCAAACTCAAAAGCTATGATATATAACATAGTAGCAACTTGGGATCAAACAATTTTCACTCACAGATAACGAGAACAGAAACATTTGGGATAATTGAAAGAACCACCAAGGCCAATTTGTCAACAAAATTTCAAAACAAGAACTAGAAAACTGAAATTCAAACAAGTCTGTAATATATAGTCTCCAAAAGAACTTAAAAGAGATGGTAAAACGAGCAATTGGGATACGGTCCATCACCAACATGCCTACTTCTAAAATACTCATTCTTCTTCAACAATTTTACCCTTCTCACTGACATAGATACCATCAAGAAACTTTCGGATATCCTTGTTCTTCACATGGCATTTCTGTACAACAAAATACAAAATAGAAAAGTTAAGTAATGCAAATTCAAATTGATAGCATGCAAACTCTAAATGTTCAATGTTGGGAGATAGAACATAGAGATTACTTGGTTAATGAGGGCTGCAGAGCGAGAAACGAGCTCAATGTCATTTCCATCCAATACAAGCTCGTCCTTAACCTTCTCAGATCGAACAACTGTTACTCCATCAAGCATGTCAACTTTCCTAACCTGATACACAGCCATAAAACCAGTTAAATCTCCAGGTACTACACTACAGCAAATGGTATAGATAATAAGCAGTGAAGAATACATATGACATTGCCATACGTAGGAACAAAACCTAGCCAAGAAGGGTCCGACTAAAGCTGGGTTTTTACACTAACACCAGAAAATGATTCCTTAAAAGACGTAAAATAATCTATGACACATCACAATTCTTTATCAAATAACCAAATTCTACCTCATCCTTAACAATTACACTAGCTGCTAACTATTTCAGTCAACATCTCAAAGTTCTAAACCTACCTGAATAAAACTACTCTTCATCGCATACAACATAGCAGCATTATTAATTGCAAAATTACTTTTTCGAACAACTTATAATCACTTTTAACCATAAAATAATCATTGAAGTAGTTCAACAGAACTATGAAATTGATATCAGAATTCAAACACAATATAAATAGAATCCTGTCATTCCTTTCTGGACAGGTACAGTTTCTCAACTTTCTTTTCTTTTAACTTATGTTTGACAATAATTCCAAAGCCAATAAATATCACATTTAACTATAAAAAAATCACAAGTACAACAAAAAACTAAGCATAAGGATCACAAATTAACTCTTATATTTATATAAAACTGATGCATTTCTGTCTAATGGGCATCCATTTTCGCTCAAATTTGTATCTAATCTAGTATACAAGAGATTGAATCATTTCATTGAACACACAAAAATCCACAGAAAAGAACTATAATTAAGCATAAATCCAGATCACGTAGTAAACGATCATGTTAACAAACTAATGCATACATTTCATTCATACAAAGAAAAATAACTTTTGAAAAAACATTACCTTCTTCTCGCCAAGGAAGTTACGGATCTCAATGGCCTTGTTACCTCCGGTGATGGAGGCATTGATGGGAAAGTGAGCATACACAAAACGCATCTTGTATCTGTATCCCTTGGTAACACCAATGATAAGATTATTAACATGGCTAAGAGCGGTACGGATAGAAGCAGTAGCCTTTCGAGATCCAAACCAGGAATCAACCTTCAGCTTCTTCAGTCCAGTTTCCTCGTCCTTGATCAGCTGGAAATCGAGATTGAGATGCTTGAAGTTTCGCACAAGCTTTCCCCTTGGTCCTTCAACTTCGATTTGCTTTGCCTTCACCTTGATGGTGATGCCGTCTGGGATATCCATGGTTTCCGATGACAGAATTGTCTTCATCTTCTCTAAATTTCTCTCACACTCTCTCTCCTCTCTCCGACTCTGTGTGTGAATATGGCGATCGCTAAAACCCTAGCAGCGATATGAAACCTTAGAGAAAGAGCTCTTAAATATGCTATGGTACTTATTGAAACCCTAGTTTCGATGGGCCAAATTACCCAACCCAAATCATCAGGCCGATTAGGCCCAATTATTTTAATCGGCCCTTTTATTATAGAAAAATTACATAACTAAACTAACATATTATAGTTAATTATGTTTCATAACTATTAATTATAAAAAATGGTTATAATTGAATAAAATGGTTATATGGTGTGTCCTACGTATTGTATTAAAACGTGTTAGTTCTCTTTCATCCTTTATACAAATCTAAACGCACTCTCTCTTATCACACCCACTAATCTATCTCCTAAAATCTCTCACTTCCCTTAAATAACTTAACGAAATTATAATTAAAATTTTGAAAAATTCATTCATCCAATTTTGAAAATTGAAATTTTGAAAACTATAGCTACACAATCCAATATTGTATAATTATACAACTAAATTTATTATGTATTTTGTATATGTATATTTATTTGGTTTAAACTATGCTTTATTTGTATAAAATATTTCATAATTTTAAGACACATACAAGTATGTTTTGTATACTCAAATACAAGTATAATGTATGTAACAACTTGTTTGATTTATACAACTCAATTTATACAAAACCTATAATATATAATTTATTCATAAACATATACAAATTGTTATGCATCATATTATTTATATGAATTGATACACTTTAACTACAATTTTTTTTTGTAACTCCATACATATACAATTGTTATATACAATGAGTCATGTTTTTTACGCCAAGAAGAAGAAGTCATATTAGGTAAGAAATTCTAATTAGATATAATAACCATGAATTAAGGGATCATTTTCTTTTTTTCTTAACTGAAGTTGCCGCATCATTTAAATAAACTTGATAAACAATTTGTATAATCAATTAAGAAAATTCAAATTATACAAACATGAATCAGTTTGACCATTCAAACTATAGCTAGACTACGTAAATAGGAAAACTCTAGCTAAAATGTCTATTATGTTTCACATCTTAGCTATTTATGAAATTTTTCCTATAATGGAGATATTTCTGAAATTAGGCACAAATAGCTTGAACCGATGGACTCGAGTTAATAGTTCGAAAGTAAAGCCCAAATAGGGTAACATGATAGGTTTAATGTAAAAATTTAGGAGGTGGACTATATTGATGACGACATTTAATTTGTCCCCGTTTTTAAAAAAGTTTGCACATTTAGTCATAAATGTATTGTTTGAAGTTAGGTTTTACATGACTAAAGTTCAATTATTTAGTACTCACTTTAACCAAGTTCATACACATATAACTGAAATTGAAGTAAAAATTGTTGAATCGACACAATGATTACTGATTTCAACTATTTGTAACTATATCCATAATGCCTAAAGTTAGATTTCGTTATGATGGACTTTAGACAGCAAATTTGAAGTTGTATCAACATGTTTATACATGTAACCAAAATTTAAAAACAAATATAAATTATGGAGAACTTTCACATATAGCAAACATAAAAATCATATTTGTATGTTATAGTTATAATTTGCATAATTGCGCTCCATAGTAAATTTTATGTTTGCTATGGAGCTTTTGATTTGTATAATTCGCTACAAACGTCCAATTTTATACAAATTGTTCAGTTTTGTATAAATTCATTTATACATTGTAATTTGTATAATAAGATTTGTATTTGTATAATTATAAGTGTATAGGACGAAAATATATGTATTTGTATTTGTATATACACTTTTCTCTCGCTTTATACAAACACAAACACATTTTATACCGAAATGTATATAATGGCTAATTGTATACCGAAAATGGCTAATTTTATACCGAATCAGATGGCAAAAAAAGGGGATGTTTGCTGTGAATTACAATTAAAATAAACTATATGGCTATAACATTTAATTTGAATTAATAGTTTGTTATTTCATATAATTTTCCCTAAATTAAATGACGATATCAAAATGGAGTATGGGCTCATGAACTACTGAGTGATGAGCTTGTGGTCTGTGTGGAAATGAATGGGCCAATGATAAATTGTATTCATATTCAAAGAAAGAATAGGAAAAGTGACATGAGAACAATACTACCTCATTCAAACACCAGTCAATTTCCACTTGATGAATTTAATTCCACTCGCTCATCCATGGGTTGCTTTTATTATTTATTATCTTCAACCTTATTCTATATTTGATGGAACGATGTGGAAAAAATAAAGGCTTGCATTAGATATTTTTTTTCTGATAAAATTATATCATTTAAATATAAAAGTAAATTTTATAAAGTAATGATTAAATAAAATACGGTGCACGGGACAGTATGTCCTAAGCAAAGACAGACAATAACGATTGTCGAGGGGCCATTGGGCCTAAGGAATATACATTGTAGCTAGATATAATTAGGTTGGGACGAGTAAGTATGATATGTTGAAGCCTACAGAGTGACACACCATATAAGAGAATTTTCACGTTCAAAAGATAAATGTAGCGGAGATAAGGATGCTTAGATGGATGTGTGTCATACTAGGAGAGACAAGATTATAAATATATGATGTAAGATGGAAATGACCTCCGTGATGAAACATGATGTGGGAAACGAGCTAGATTGAGATGATTCATGCATGTAACAAGGAAGAACACAAATGACCCAATGAAGATATGCTGAAAGTTGATAGTGATGTGTTCAAGAAAAGGTTTAGATAGATTGAAGATGAATTGGGAATAAGTAATTAAATATGAGATGACACATTTTTAACTCAACGAAAATACGATCCTAGATAGAAAAGTATAGATGTAAAGAATTAGAATTGGCTTTAGCAGATATATCATAGTCAAGCATTATTTCTCTCTTTCTCGTAGGAGTACATGGTTCTAGTTTAAAGCATATTGTTCATTTCATCATCTTCTCCTAAAGAGTGTCATTATTTATTATATTTTAATTATATTATTTTCTAATTGTATTACTATTTTTGTTTTCTTTACTTTGGTTATATTGACTTTTTTGTTGTTGTTGTTGTAAGGCCTTTTCTTTACTTTTTTAATAGTATTTTCAGCATAATATTTATTCGTGTTCGTCAAATTTGTTCTTGAAAATATTTTTTTTGAGTTGCTAGTCCGTTAAAAACAAACTCTCTAACTCACACATGGTAAGAATTAAATTTACATATAACCCAATATTCACAAATAGAAGAACTTACTCGAGATTTCATTATATATGTTGTTAAAAGAATTCAAATGATTTCTTATGTATATATTTTTTCATATGAATAAGTATTTAGCAATACGTCTTTAGTAATATTAGCAACTAGTAGTACTTTTTATTATCGAGATAGTGACTTTGTAAAATTATAATCTAGGGCTGCTAACATGCCTCTTTAGAAAATGCCGTCATTCATGAAGTAAGAGTTCTATTGGAGTATCTATATAATTTTGATTAGGTACGAAATTAAAGAAATATGAAAAGATTTTAATATGTTTTAAAATTATTTTTAAAATTATGATTTAAAAAAAAAAACTACATTCTTTGTGGATATTTGTCAAATAATTTTTTATTTTTTTTTAGATTTACTAAAAAAAAATGCGTCGGGGTATAGTATTTTTTTAATTTTGTGAAAAGAGTGAAAGAAAAAGTTGAAACGTGGTCGTCCTAAAAGACCAATAACATTGTGCGTATGAGAATCAATATGTAGAAGATTCTGCTTTCTTTTGAATATTTTTAAGTTTACATTGACCAAATCCCATTATTTAATTTTGAAAAATCAATTAAAGCCAAAAGGGTCGTTTTTATTCGAAACAAGGATATTCTGTGTTTATATTTCCAAACAAAATTGTAATTTCATCTACTATATTATAAAACAGAGTTTAGGGCCAAGTATAATATATAATATTCAAGATTGGGACTTTTCCCAATCTTGAATATTATTTATTATACTTGTGGGACTTTTAAAATTCTATTTTATTACCCATCTTCTATCTATCTATATCTATCTATATTTTCTAATTTTTTTCTATTTTCTATTCTATTCTTTCTATTTTCTATTTTCTATTCTACTATATTTTTTTCTACTATATTATAAAAGAGAGTTTAGGCCCAAATATATAATATATAATATTCAAGATTGAGACTTTTCACTATATTATAAAAGAGAGTTTAGGCCCAAATATATAATATATAATATTCAAGATTGAGACTTTTCACTATATTATAAAAGAGAGTTTAGGCCCAAATATATAATATATAATATTCAAGATTGAGACTTTTCACTATATTATAAAAGAGAGTTTAGGCCCAAG